TGCGAATTAATTCACAGAACGTGATCTTTACTTTCTGTGTATGTGTTTAAAATGACGAGATTGCAAAGCTCGAACTTGTGGCGAAACATCGTAGCGTGTTTCTGCAGTAGTGCAAGATTTTCGGCCACGTGGGCCGTGAGCACAGCGCGATGTTCGGCCAGCCAGGCGGAATGTTGGCGGTGCCAGCGGCCGTGATGCATGTTAAGCATAAAGTGGAATCACCGACCTCAAATATATTTTTAATTAGGTGAGGCAAGTTTTAATCACTTTTGATAGCCAGTCTTGATAATTTTCGTGGCGCAAATGAAAATAATCCAGGCACAAAATAAACATGATTCCTTGCTCTATGATTAGTACGAATGATACTCCATTAATCAGCACCCAAAAAAATTGGCAAAATAATTTTCCGACCTACTGACGCTATTTTGAAAGGCATGTAATCAGAAGCAAAAGTTGTTTTTTTTTCCACCTTAATTTCTTAATTTGAATCTTACATGTAAATGTAGTTCATACTTTTCTAGTTAGGAAACAATGAAACACAGGTTGTGAAATGTTACTTTTTTAAGTTAACAATTTTGATTTTTTTTTCTTTAATTACAAAAATATTAGTGACCTACAAGATCTCCTCTGAATTTCAAGGAAAAATCTTAAGATAAAGACCCCCAGAGTTGCTCTAAAATGCACCAGAGAGCTTCTAAAGTTCAAACATTTTCAGGTGGTTTTATACAATTTTTTGCGAAAGAACACGCATGGGCATGCAGAACTGAAATGAAAAAAAAAATTACAAAATAAAATTATTTCCCTACCTACCTACCTGGATTTTTTTCAGGCCGTTACCGTAAACACACCATTTGTTTTGTTTGGCCTTACTGATTTTTTTGTTCACATATTTAACAGAAAAACAAGCAGCACCATGGGTGACGAGCATGTCAAAGAAGCCCTCGAGAACTACACGACGGCCCCCTTCGACGCCCGCTTCCCAAACACCAACCAGACCAAGAATTGCTGGCAGAATTACTATGACTACCACCGCTGTCTCAAGCTAAAGGGAGAAGACTTTGAGAGCTGCAATTGGTTCAAGAAAGTCTACAAGTCCATGTGTCCATTCGCTTGGGTGAGTGTGCCTCGGATGAATGTTTTTACTACCAACGATTGATTCCGTGAAACAAGGATAACTTACACGGTGTGTAGTACTCACACACATACAAACGTGTGTTCTTCGTCGATCGTGGACGTTCTATTGTCCCTCTTTTGTTTGTACTCTTTTAGGAAGACTCCCATAGGTTTTGTACAGGACCCCAATCATGGACGTATGCTGGGAATCGTGGACGATATTGTTCTCTTTTGTTCTCTGGTATTTTTCGTCCACGGTTTGAAAAGATGAACACGTACAAGTTTGTTGCATGGGTGTGCTATTGTCTGTCGGTTCAGTGCATGACATCTCATAGCTGCAATTGACTGAATGAGAACGTGTTCCAGATGCTGATTTCCGGCACATTTCAAAACTTGACTCGGCAACTTTTGAATTGAAATTGAGATCCTACAATATTGTTTTCTCGTAATATATATAGCATTCACTGAGCTAAAAGTTCATCAAGTTAGTTTTTAAGCACCCTCGAATAGGAAAATTAACGTGTAAAAATAAAAGTCTTAGAGTTTTTAAATTATATATCTTGTAATTAATAGGACTGTTAACTTTTTCACCCAAAAAAAGTGTGTATTCATCAGAATGACGAACTCTGTGATGTTTCAAACATTTCAAGATACATGGACAATTTCTGTATCTTTTCAAAAGAGAAAATTGGCCTACATTAACTTATGGACAAATTCCTTCAGAAATTGTTAAGTATTTGCAACCAGTCAATACTGTAGGGACAGGGAACTAGTCTGCTTGCAGGGTAAATCTGTTGGTGTAGGTGCCCAAAATAAAATACAAATATTTATACATTTTTTCCCTTTCAATCAAGTAGAAAGGTTCGAAATCTCTTGGGAGGAAAGGTGAATTTGTTGAAGATCACAGACAATCCGTCTTTAAATACCAAGTATACATGCTCTTTCAAATCAGTGAAAAAAATTACTCACTTTGTGAAATCTTGGCACATTGTACATTTCAATGAGTTAATTATGGAATTCTTTTTTAAAAAAATGGTCTTATAATTAACTCCCTCTGAGGCATTTTTGCTAGGATGCAACCTCAATCCTGCAAAATCCTCCAACTGCCTCCATGACAAAATTGCATACAGCCTCAATCCTGCAATATCCTCCGTTATTTCTCGAATGTGGTCCTTGGAGGGGTGACCACTGCCTCAATCCTGCAAAATCCTCCAGCAATCACTGTCAGTGTGTTGAGGCAGAGCCAGTCACATCCTGGAGCAGTGTGGAGGATTTCAAGTACTATATAATCTATGGCTGAGCATAAACAACACAAGGTCCGGCCCATGACCTTAACACAGTGCATCCTTCAAAACCAGCCATACGTTTTTTGCAATGTAACTTCAATCAATTCCTCCTATTTGCAAAGAGGACTTTGGAGGATTTGGGAAGGTTAGGGTTAATAAATGGTAATTTCTTTTCAATCCCGTAGGTTGAGAATTGGGATGACCAGCGAGAGAGCGGGACCTGGCCCTCCAAGATTTGATGACGGGTCTGCTGTAGAGCACAGAGGGGGTGTCACCGCTTAGATGCCATCACTTTTAGGGAAATGTATCTTATTTCAGAAGAATTATTGTTTAACAAATATATCCGGGTCCAATTTGATGGCGCCGCTAGGCTGACAATGTTGCTTTTACCAAAATTTTCTGCCCAGACTCCTATCAGCTGGAAACCGGCAGTAAGCAACCTGGTTACATTGTTGTAGTGTTTGGCTTAGCGGCTCCGTCAGATTTTCTGTTGGTGTGCTAAGGATTGAATTGACTTGTGCCGGAATATTTGCATTGCAACTAATGTAAGTTACACGTAGCTGTCATAATGTGAAGCAGATATTTCTGCGTAGTTCTGTGAAGTCTGTGCCCTCAGCCACTGACATCAGTTCCTATTTTTCTCAGAGTTGGTCATAGATCGATCCATTAAGCCACGCCCCATTACGTCTTGACCAATCACAGCCTTGGTCAGACATGCGTGCTCACAAGTCCGACATGCGTGTACATGTACAACATACACCCGAGGACAGACAGACAAAGGGAGACCAACAGATTCTTTGTTGACCTCGAGCATTTTTCTTTTGCTGGAAAACCGTCCTCTATTGTGACTGTGTGTGCTGAATCTGTGGGAAAGTGTTATATTACAGGGACAAAGGGAAACACAAAGCATTGTCCTCGAGAGTAAAGTGAAACATGTCTTTGCAGGTGTGCAGTGTGGCATTGAGGAGACACACATGTTGTTTACTCAAGTGTGCAGTGGGCGGGGCTTAATGAAGCAATCTATTAAGCCCCACCCCATGTCCCCTTGACCAATCACTGCCTTGCTTTAATATCCGACGTGTGTGCACACAAGTCCAACATGTGTGCAGTTTGGCATTCAAGAGGTGTACCTATTGTTTCCTCATGTGTGCAATGGGCGGGGTTTAATGGATCGATCCATTCACGGTTGTAGGGGTGCAGTTCATCCTTGCATTGTATTTAAACACTTGTGTTGGCATTCAAAGCGGAATTTTATCATTAAGTAGTTTAAACAGTTTGTATGATACTAGAAGTGTGAAAATGATGCCAGAATTGACAAGAGAATTTTTTTTTTTTCCAAGGGAATTACTCAATTTGTTTTTCAATTAATTGGTGTGAAAACAAAGATGGCAATGTGTGTCTGTAGGTAGTGAGATTTGAACCATGGACCATCTGAACAAAAGCCAAGGTGTCACCAGCCAGTCATTAGCGTGATTTTATATGGCTTTTTTCCATACCTTTTTGTGCATGTGGACAATTTGGGATTGTGAGCAAGACAAAACCTAAGTCAATCTTACTTCAATTCCTTTACAAATATTACAGAAAAAAAAGGTTTAAAGTGATTCTTAATGAACTACAATTGATATTCATCCTGTAGTGTGGTTCTTTACTTTCACAAACAATCCAGTTAATGTTTGAGAGAATGTTGAAGTTATAGAAATAAAATAATTCCCATTAATTAAGTTCTCTCTCTCATTGTCTCATTTCTTGCCTTTGTCAGAAGAAATCAGTTTTATTGTACCCCTTTTTTTAATGTAATGATCCTGTTCCTCACAGTAAAAAGTTTGAGTAGTATTTACCCCTACAGATTAGTTGATCAGGCCATGAATCTTCACTGATTTTCCATTGTCGTGTCCCCGGCAGAAGTTTGATTAAATAGGTCTTTTGTTTAAAGGGAAGATACAACATTTGCAAACATCAAAAAAAACGAAATGATCAAATTATCAAGACATACCTTACTGGCTTGTTAGGGAATGACAGTCTTATAGAATCCTGTAAAAATCGTGGCTCCTGGTGTGCTGACATTTTCAAGAAAAACTATTTTTCCAGCGCTGGTCAGCCAACCAGCGTTGGAGAAAACTGGCTTATTTTCAGAAACTGCTCCTAATTTTTCATATTTAGTTGTTCCGCATTTTCTTTGCAATTGATTACACACCTGTGAAGAGGTACAAGCCTGCCAGACTGATTCTCGGACCTTACAATTCCCCAAAGTCTACGAATTGCTCTGTTTTCATCATAAGTGGGGCCAGGGAACCAGACTACAAGAACATGACTGGTTTTCTTGGTTTTTCCAACATCTACAAGCCCAAAACGTGAAACAAGTCAGTTTAACAATATTTGCTATAACATTCTAATCCTCTAAATCCATTTATTCTGAACATTGCAGCAAACGCAAATGTTGGACATTCCCTTTAACACCAGCTGTCCTTTCAAGTATAAGGAATTGTGTACAGAGTTAGGTTAGAGCTGGGAGTTTTTCTCACCTTCCATTGGTTTAAATGTCAATCCAGATGTGTTTCACAATACAATGTATATCCTGTCTTTCCTTTTGTTGGTATTACTCCCACACCTGTTATTGAAAGTGGTTTTTTTTAGCATGTTATACAGTGCAGTGGAGTGTGGGAAAGGGAAGTGAGTGCCGAAGTAGAAAGCCAGACGCTTCCATCCAGAAAACGTGAGTGAGCTCCACCAAAAATTCAACTTGATTGGAAAAGACCCAAACCAAAGGCACTTGTGTCACATGTGGAGACGATATCAGGCTTCGATGGAGTATGAACAAATGCACATGATACATGCACATAGTCTCGGTCAAAGTGGGACTGAGAAGTTGCCCAAGCACAGAGGTTTGTTCGTCAGGATAGGCCGGGAGTGGACGGAGCAGAATTGAACCCAAGTCCAAGCACTTCACCCCGAAGAGATTCGTAAGTGTTTACATGAGCATTTATTGAAAGCGTGTAATTATACATTTTTGGAAGAAGCCTGGTAATTTTTGATGGCAAGATTGATTCAATTTTCTGATTAGTTTTTCATGCTTGCCATCTCGTGTACGCTGTTGATACTTCGCATCAACAACGATTGTGAAGTGCAAAACAGGTAATGAGCCTATTTTGTTGATTTTATTCCATTTCAGTTGATTTTTATTTGGATTGCATTTTTCGCGCTGCGCACACATTAAACGCTAGTGACCACTATTAGTAAAGCGCGCCCTCTTTTGAAAGAAAATACGCAAGAGTTGGCAAACGTCTGCGGATAATTCCTAAGTTTCGTGGAAAAATATCCGGTTGTATTAAATTAATTGCTCAACAGTATATTTGTTTCTCAAAATAAAAATCGTTGTTTGAAAACATCACGACCAAATAGTAGACAATTTCAATTCAGGACAACATGTTTTTCTTGAGTTATCAACTCCACAACTCAGGCGCGGTTCTACGGGGTGGGGGAAGGGTGGGTTTAGGGGGTGGGGGTACCACCCCCGGGGGAAACTGTTGAATTTTTCTTGATAATAATAACATACATATCCGCCAGATGGGTAGCTAATTGTGAGAAGGGGGCATCTGTACACTATTAGGTAATATTATATTGTGCACTGTGGGAATTGATCATCCATCTTCCCATAGAGTACGAGGCCCCCCCCCCCCTACTGATTTTCCTATTTTTTTCGCACTGACCACACTCTATTGTTTTGGTTGTATTAAATTTATTGCTAGACATTTTGCTTGTGAAAATAGCAGACAACATTTTAACTCAGGACAATGGTTATTTCTTGAGTTATCATCTCCAGAAGGAGTACATGTATTTTGTTTATTCCATTTAACTAGACTTATATGCGGATTGTATTTTTCGCGCTGACCATGTACACTCTATTGAGGTTGAATTTAATTTATTGTTTGACATTTGCTTTTGGAACTAAGAGGTTTTTTTATTGGATTGAAAGTTTGCCTAGAGGTTGGGCATTACTGGCAACACAAGCCTCTTAAATATGGAGAGAAAACATAGATTAAATTAAAATTAAATTCAATCAGTTAATTGTGACTTATCACCCGAACCGTAAAGTAATTTTGCCATTCCTATGATGACATTCATTCGGAATGTATTTTTCATGTTTAACACATTAAGTTGTTTTTGCTCACATTATTTGTACTGTTTTGTAAATTCCGATAAATTAACTCTGAATATGAATATAACACATCATTGAAAATTACTGGACGAAGTTCCAGTATAATACATTTGGTATTTCACAAATTATTGCTCTAAACAACGAGTGGTTTGTTGTATTGAACGTCAACTCATGATTTGTTCACGGTTAAAACACAAGTTGTTTCGGTCACATTACTTTTGTCGTTGGACGAGTTCTTGTGAAACTGTCTGGCGATTGAGAAAATATTGAGTTAATACATTCAGTAATATTGCCTGAATCATGATAGTCTTCTCTTTAGTATTATTCAATATAGTGCATCCGTGTTGACGCGCGCTGTGTAGGAGTGCACCCCTGCATTAAAATTCAGACGCTAGTGCGAAATGCCCATAGTTCAAATTTCTTTGAAAAATGCTCAGAACTCTCACAGGTATTAAAGATGCACAGAAAAATGATGATCAACATGTCTTTTCGAGATATTCTCACCCAAAGAAGACGACCCCCATTTTCCCCAAAGCGGAGAAGTAACCGAGAAAAAAAGATCCCTCCACAACATGGCAAAATGAAGCGCCACTTTCGAGCCCAATTGCATTCAAAATTCTCAGAATTGAAAGCCCCAATTAAGTCCGGGCCGGAGGTTCATTGCCATATCTCCTCAATTCTTTAATTGTATCGTTCTCAGAACCACTCTCATATAGAAAATATTTTGAGAATATAACTTTTATTCATGAGCCTCGGCGGATGGATTGTGCACCCGTAAAGCCTGGGCACTCCAGTACATTTTGCCAACAGCAATTTCTTCCAAAAGAGGGCGCGCTTCACAATCACTTCTGTGAATGCGGATGATCATGTCCATATCCAACCGAAGTCGGATTTAATTATGCAAAAATAAAACACTCTTTGTGGAGACGATAACTCCAGAAAAACACATTGCATTGAATTGAAATTTCGTCTGACGATTGGTCGTGATATATGACACACGACGAATGAAAATGGATGGGAACCGTTGAAGAAAAATGAAGTATGCTTACAGAAAATACAGCGTATTATTCGCGAAAAATTCAATCCAAACACAAGTCAATTTTAATTGAACAAACATAAAACACTCTTTGTGGACACGATAACTCCAGAAAAACACATTGCATTGTCTTGAAATTTTGTCCAAAGTTTGTTCATGATATATGAAACAAAAACTTAGAAAATTGACGGGAACCGTTGAGTACAAAATGAAATATAATTACAGAAAATGCAGTGTTAGTTCAATCCAAACACGTACATTATTGCATTGAATTGAAATTTCGTTCAATTCGTCGTGATATTTAACACTCACAAAATTAAATTCGACGGGAAACCACGTAGGAAAATCGTAATTTCTACCCCCCAAAAAGCTGTTCAAAAATTACAAAAAAGTGTCATTATATTGAGAGAAGTCTGCTTTCGGTTGAAAATGTCGTTTTTGAGTAATAAAAAACACTCTTGACTCTCATTTGATCGAAACAAAACAGGGGCCCTACAGGCTACACGATCGCCATGATATTAATGAGATATTAGACAATAAAAGTTTACACCGTCAGTTGAAGTTGAGTCTGCATGGAGAGTCCCACATTTTTGGACTTGGTTCAACTAATAAGATTATCTTCTTAATCTGGATCACGATTTGCTGACTTCATTTATGTAATAAAAGTGCCTTTTCTGTGTTCTTGTTTTTAATAGAAATTGATGACGTGAGCAGAGAAGCAGCCAGTGAGGCTGCAGACCCAGTCAGAGGGAAGATGATGTGTGGACAATAACTTCGGCAGGAGGATGCTGCCGAGCTGTGGCGGGTTTGTACGCTCCTTGCAGCTGCTGTGGCATCCAGACTGACTCCTGGAGAAATGCAATCAGCAGGTTAGTGGAGAGAGACGGGGCCCGGATCACAGAGAGGGCATCACCCAGCTATCACAGACACTGAACAGATACGATAAGGAGGAGATCCTAGATTAGCGATCCTGGACTGGACTTGGACTGATCCTGCCTTTAATAAACTTCCTTGCAGTTTAGACTGTTTTGCATGTTCAGTAACCATCTGTGGTATGTGGTTTAGGATATTGACTGAAATCTTGTGCTCTCTGTAATTACGTGAACAAGTTTTGTAATTACAGTAATTGCTTATGGCAGTAAACAGTCATGTCATTGAATGATGCAAGGTTGGGTGTGGGTGCATGGTACCCTTCGATTGAACAAAGCATCAATATCTCACGAGGATATAGAGTCTGAGAAAATTCATAGCAGTGTTGTCTTCATGACCTTTGACATCATGCATTCTCTCCTGCCTATCCTAGGGTCAATTTTGTGCCACTTTATTTCAAGTGACTTGTATTCCAATATTTTCTACAAACCCGATTTCGTAAGACAGAAATGTCTTGAGTTTAATAGGGTTGCTTTAATGCCTAAACAAAATAACTAGCCTTATCAGTTTTTATTTAAAACAACAGTTCAAAAATCGTCAACTTTTGCATTTTTGCCTTTTGCAATTTTTGTTCCATGCAGTACTAATTCCATGTATTCAACAGTTTGGCTCTACATGTGCTGGTATATATATATTTTTTTGGCATGAAGCATGAAGCATTAAACATTTTGAGTTTTCCATTACAAAAAAATAAATATCTTTAGCTTCTTATCAAAGCATCATCCCAATTGTAAAATCAGTGATTAACTCGTTGTTAATTAAATATTTATATAGAATTTTCCAGTCGAAAAGAATTAAAATGACAAATGCTTTGGAACTTTCTTGAAATTGTTGCTTCTTTTAAGATACTATGACCCCCTCCCCAACAAACAAAAACCCAATTACATGTATATTGAAAAGGAATTGAAAATGAAACCTGAAATATGAGGGTTGTTATTTAAGAATATTCAAATTCAACCAAAAATTCAAATACGTTTTAGACGCATTCAAATATTTACTGTGGTTTGGGGGAAGGCAAAAATAAAAAACAACGAGGGTGGGATTCGAACTTGAGTCGCCGGATAGCGAATCCTACGCCGGTCCACAAAAACGCAAACGCATTCAATAGTTTAGGGTGTTCTGCTTAATTATAACTGTAAGACAGGCTTTTTGCGGCTTTTCACGTTGACGCCCATGCACGCTTAGACGTAACACACAGTCTGACCACAGTAATAACTCCTTTGATTTTAGTTGTTGCTGTTTGGGTTGATCCAAATTTGATTGAAAAGGTGTAAAAGGATATAAATTTAACCCAAATCGTGAAATTCTATGAAACAAAACCGGCACAATCCTTGGTTTCTGCACGAAACACACGTGTTCAACGGATGCAGGGAAGCCTAGTTCTTTTGTTAATTTCCTTTGTTGAATCTTGCGTTAACAATAAAATGTTTCCATTGAGGCCAAAGGATTAAACGCCGCGATCTTTTTTCACGCTTGAGTGCATCTGAATGGGGAATATTGAAGCGGAAAATCACGAATTACAGCACTTATACAGCATTTTATCCCACATAATGATACTTTTTGAAGAGGAAATTGCATACTGAAAACAACTATAGTTTCAAAATGCAAAAATTCGCCGTATTTAAAAAGTCGAGGTAAAATTTTTGGAAAAATTTTGCCAAAACTTTCTTTCTTCCAACGTAGGTGGCGCTATATATATATCATTCTCGCACCGTGCGCTAATTTGGTTAGCGCATTAGCTATAGCGTGTGTGTACGGCAGGTGGGAGGGTATTGGTCATGTTGATGGTGGGGTTGGCTTGATTTTGTATACATTAATGATTTTAAATCATAATTTAAACAAATCACTGATTTATATACCTTTTTAAAAATATGTCCCGAAGGGCGAGTCCCAATAAAAATATTTTGCGTGCTTTCCCCCCCCCCCCCCCCCCCGCTCGGCTTACGGGCTGTCAGTACAATCAATTTAAATCTAATTCGTTAATGAAGTAGACCCTATACCTGTTTTGCCACAATAATATGATGTTTTCTATAGGGTGAGACTCCTTTCGAATCCCATTCCCATGCCTGAAAAAAATCCTGCTTCCCCCTAGCTGCCTCTTGCTTCATGCCTTGGCCCTTGGCTAAATTATAAATAAGCCTTTGGACACGGACGGAAGGAATACACGCCTGTTTTGTTCCGCTAAAGTTGATTTATATCTGGATTGCATTTTTCTTGCTGACCTCACTCTATTGTTTAAGTTCTATACCCATTCAACAAGGTCGCCCCTAGCGGAAGTTCCTCTGGGGCGATCAATATCGGTCGCCCCCAGCGGTATACCGCTAGGGGCGACAATAACGGTCGCCCCCAGCCGTACAAGCATTAATATATACCGCTATGGGCGACAATATCGGTCGCCCCCAGCGGTATACCGCAGTAGGGGCGACAATAGTGGTCGCCCCCAGCGGTACGCGCGTTAATATATACCGCTAGAGGCGACAAAATAAAGGGCGCCCCCAGCGGTACAAGCGTTATACCGCTAGGGGCGACAATAGTGGTCGCCCCCAGCCGTACAAGCATTAATATATACCGCTATGGGCGACAATATCGGTCGCCCCCAGCGGTATACCGCTAGGGGCGACAATATAGTGGTCGCCCCCAGCGGTACGCGCGTTAATATATACCGCTAGAGGCGACAAAGGGCGCCCACAGCGGTACAAGCGTTATACCGCTAGGGGCGACAATAGTGGTCGCCTCTAGCGGAATTTTCTGTAGGGGCGACCGTTATTGGTCGCCCCTAGCCCAATTGGCTAAATTATAAATAAGTCTTTGTATACGCGCCTGTTTTGTTCCCTTAAAGTTGACTTCTATTCGGATCGCATTTTCTCGCTGACCTCATGCTATTGTTTTAGTTGAAGACCCATTCAACTTATTCTTAAGTTTTCTTTATAAAATATGCTTGGAAATAAGATCAGGCGGCTAGCACGCACTGAGAAATAAAATCATATATAGCGCCATGGCGCTAACCAACGGCACATGCGAGAATAAAATATATATAGCGCCACTTACGTTGGAAAGAGGAAAGTTTTGGCCAAATTTTTCAAAATTTTTTACCTCGACTTTTTAAATACGGCGATTTTTTGCATTTGGAAACTATAGTTGTTTTCAGTATGCAATTTCCTCTTCAAAAAGTATCATTATGTGGGATAAAACGCTTCCTAAGAGCTGTAATTCGTGATTTTCCGCTTCAATATTCCCCATTCAGAGGCACTCAAGCGTGAAAAAAGATCGCGGCGTTTAATCCTTTGGCCTCAATGGAAACATTTTATTGTTAACGCCAGATTCAACAAAGGAAATTGACAAAGAAAATAGACTCCCTTGCATCCGTTGAACACGCGTGTTTCGTGCTGAAAATAAGATTGTACCAGTTGTAGTTAAGGGAATTTCACGATTTTAGTTCAGTTTACACCCTTTACCCTTTTCCAATCAAATTTCGATCAACTCAAACAGCTTCACCCAAAATCAAACGAGTGATTTACATCGTCAGACTGCGTATTACGTCTAAGCGTGCATGGGCGTCAACCTGAAAAGCCACGATAAGTCTATCTGACAGTTATAATTAAAAGGTGAAACCTAGTAACTGAACGTCCGTATGCTCTAGTGGACCGGCGTAGGACTCCCAATCAGGCGACCCAGGTTCGAATCCCACCCTTGTTTATTTTTGCCTCACAAACATAAATTTACTTCTTTGAAAAATTTAAAGTTGTTCTGAGAATCAAATATATTTAAAATATTAATACTAAAAACAAATAATGTATAGCCTGAGGCCTAATTTATATTATTTTTTTAAAATGTAATTTATTCCTCAATGATTGGATCAAGAAATTGAAAACTAAAGGAGAGGCAAGTTTGGCAAATAACAATAAAACAGTGTTTTCTGCAAAGTATTTAAACTTTTAAATTAAAAGTGTTGTTTAAAACGACGACCAAACAGTAGACAATAACTCAGGACAACAGGCATTTCTTGAGTTATCTCCACAACGAGCAGTGTTTTTTTTTTATTTCATTAAAGTCTCCATCAAACACTCTATTGTTTTGGTTGTATTAAACTTATTGTTTCACATTTGCTGTTGGAAATTAAAAAGCTTGCTTCAAACATAAATAATTAACGGACAACATTTCGGAAAGATTGTTGCAACCTGACGCTGCTTTTTTTTCTTCATATATCATCTCAATGAAGGTCAGTAGTTGCAAAAACGATAAGACATGAATCTGGGACTGAGAACATTTCCAATTTTGTTAGGAAATACTTAGAAAGTTTTCTTGACTCTCCATAGACTTTGTACACAACCGCTGAAGTAGCGTCAGGTTGCAACTTTCTTTGCAATTTACTGGTTCATATTTGTTGTTGGAAATTAAAATGCTTGCTTCAAACATAAGCAATTAACGGACACAATTTCAAGTCAATGAACCATTTTTTCTTAAGCATGTTGATCAGAACAATTTGCCACGATTGAGTGTACTTTGAAGTAGTACAGCACAAGTTCTTGCCATGACATCACAGCTTCATGTTTGTATTTACTTGAGTCTTGAGTATAGGCTAGCCTTTAGTAAACACATAAGTTTAACGAGTGATGAGTGCAATGGTAAGAATAATTCCACGAGGCGACAGATAAAATGTTCCATTGCACGAGGTTAAGCTGGATAGAATAGAATAGAATAGATGAAATAGAATAGAATGGATGAAATTATTCTTTCCACTGCACGACTGTGAATCAGTCATTATTGGTTTATACCATGCCTGAATCAATCCTGGGATCTAATTGGCAATAGTGAGCCTTTAGTAAACGCATAAGTTTAACGAGTGATGAGTGCAATGGTAAGAATAATTTCATAAAGCGACATATTATGAAATGGTCCATTCCACGAGGTGAAGCTGGATGAAATTATTCTTTCCATTGCACGACTGTGAAACAACAATTTTTTGTTTATATCATGCCTGAATAAATCCTGGAATCCGATTGGCAATGGTGAGCCTTTAATAAACAAATAAGTTAACGAGTGATGAGTGCAATGGTAAGAATAATTCCGTGAACGGGTTCCATTCCACATGGCAAAACCGGATGAGGAACAAACGTTGCAACCTGACGCCACTTTTTTCTTCATATATCATCTCAATGAAGGTCATTCATTGCAAAAATGATGATCAGACATGAATCTGGGACTGAGAAATATTTCCAATTTTGTTAGGAAATACTTAGAAAATTTTCTTGACTCTCCATTGACTTTGTACACAATCGCGGAAGTGGCGTCAGGTTGCAACATTTTTTCCATGACTGTGAAACGTAAATTATTTGTTTTATAGTACCGCACCTGAATAAATTCTGGAATCCGATTGGCAATAGTGTGACCGTGCAATGAAACTTTCTTATATACCATGGAAGGGATATATAAAAATTGTGTTTGTGGTGCAGCCAGGCCACAGGTTGGGACATATTATTCAATGCCACATGATCAATGACCCACCAATCAGATAACAGGGATTTATTCAGGCGTTGTATGTTACATACTGCCCCTCAGTTTATATTAAAAGGCCACCTCTTAAATTTACAGTTTACAATGAAAAGAATGTTGTAACCTGACGCTGCTTTTTTTCTTCATAAATCATCTCAATGAAGGTCAGTCATTGCAAAAATGATGATTAAGACAATGAATCTGGGACTGAGAAACATTTTCAATTTTGTTAGGAAATTTCTGGAAAATTTTCTTGACTCTCCATAGACTTTCTACACAACCGCTGAAGTGGCGTCAGGTTGCAACAGTCTTTTCTCTACATGTTTC